CTTACCCTAGAATCCGTACATATCACCTTTCACATCAGCACTTTTAACCTTGTACCCATTACTCTGGCCCGGCCCAGTTTTATAGTGTCTTGATGCATTGTTTATTGTAATATTGCTTTAACTGTTTTTAATTTGCTTTGGTGTTGTATTGTTGTGTTGTGTTTTGAGGCCTTGGCCTTTGTAAGCCGCATCGAGTCCTTTGGGAGATGCTAGCGGGGTACAAATAAAGTTTAATAATAATAATAATAATAATAATAATAATAATAATAATAATAAAATAATTGTGCCTTCCTTGCATGTCAGAAGGGTCTTGGACTGGATCTCTTCTAAGGGGCCATCTCCCTGCTGCAACCAAATGGCCGTTCTCTCCTCTGTTTATTAACCAAGACAGGTAGGTACAAACAGACTCCATCTATCTGGGAACCCAATTAATCACAGGAGGCCATCGTTCAAAATAATCACCCCTTGAATAAATAGCAACAGAGCCGAAAACGGCCAGCTTAAGCTTCAGCATGACCATGCAGGACGCACCATTCACAAATGTCACGGTGATGTGCCATTAGTCCTCGAAGGGCATGTTGATGTTCCCATTTATTTGAGGTTTTTAAAAAGAATGTTTGCATGGAAGAGAAATGGGAGAAAAAAGCAGGTTCCTTCTGTTTATTATTCTGTAAAAAACAAAGCAATGGCCATTGGGCATTAACATTAATTCACTTCCTTTGCAACTCTTATTATTATTATTATTATTATTATTATTATTATTATTATTAGCCACTGTTCTATTATTATTGACAACTTTTCTATGATTACCAATATATTTATTAGATGCCAACTTGATAATAATAATTTTATTTTTAATTTTATATTTGTTGTTAGCCACTGTTCTATTATTATTATTTGCCAACATTTCTATTATTATTACTGATATTTATATTATATTCCACCTATTATTATTATTATTATTATTAGTCACTCTAACCCTGGTGGGTTAAACCGCTGAGCTGCTGAACTTGCTGACCGAAAGGTCAGCGGTTTGAATCCAGAGAGCAAGGTGAGCTCCCGCTGTTAGCCCCAGCTTCTGCCAAACTAGCAGTTCGAAAACATGCAAATGTGAGTAGATCAATAGGTACCACTTCCACAGGAAGGTAACAGCACTCCATGCAGTCATGCTGGCCACATGACCTTAGAGGTATCTATGGACAACGCCAGCTCTTCCGCTTAGCAATAGAGATGAGTGCCCCCCCCCCCCCCGCCCGCTGAGTCGGACACTAGACTTATTGTCAAGGGGAAACCTTTATGTTTATCTTAGTCACTTTTCTATTATTATTTACCAGCTTTTCATTTATTATTATCATTAAATGCCATCTTATTATTATTATTATTGCTGTTATTATTATTAGCAACTTTTATTATTATTTGCCATGTTTTCTATTAGTATTAGCAACTTTCCTATTAATATTATTATTATTATTATTATTATTATTATTATTATTTACCAGTTTGGGTTGTTGTAGGTTTTTTCGAGCTATATGGCCATGGTCTAGAGGCATTCTCTCCTGACGTTTTGCCTGCATCTATGGCAAGCATCCTCAGAGTATGCTCACTACCTCTGAGGATGCTTGCCATAGCTCAGTGTTTCTCAACCTGGGGGTTGGGACCCCTGAGGGGGTCGCAAAGGGGTGTCAGAGGGGTCGCCAAAGACCATCAGAAAACACAGTATTTTTTGATGGTCATGGGGATTCCATGTAAGAAGTTTGAGCCAATTTTATCATTGGTGGAGTTCAGAATGTTCTTTGATTGTAATGAACTATAAATCCCAGCAACTGCAACTCAGAAATGTCAAGGTCTATTTTCCCCAACTCCACCAGTGTTCACATTTGTGCATATTGAGTATTTGTGCCAAGTTTGTTCCAGATCCACCATTGTGTGAGTCCACAGTGCTCTCTGGATATAGGTGAACTACAACTCCCCAACTCAGGGTCAATGCCCACCAAACCCTTCCAATGTTTTCCGTTGGGCATGGGAGTTTTGTGTGGCTAATTAGGTTCAAATCCATCGCTGGTGGAGTTCAGAATGCTCTTTGATTATAGGTGAACTACAAATCCCAGCAATCCTCCCTTAACCCCACTAACATTTACATGTGGGTGCATTGGGTATTTGTGCCCAGTTTGGTCCAGTAAATGAAAATACATCTTGCATATCTGAGATTTACATTATGATTTAAAACAGTAGTAAAATGACTGTTATGAAGTAGCAACAAAAACAATGTTATGATTGGGGGTCACCACAACATGAGGGACTGTATTCAGGGGTCACGGCATTAGGAAGGTTGAGAACCACTGCCATAGATGCAGGCAAAACGCCAGGAGAGAATGCCTCTAGTCTAGACCATGGCCATATAGCCCGAAAAAACCTACAACAACCCAGTGATTCCGGCCATGAAAGCCTTCGACAATATATTTACCCGTTTTTCTATTATTATTATTATTATTATTATTATTATTATTATTATTATTTGCTATTTTTCCTTTATTAACGAGATACCAATTTTTATTTTGAGCTTCCTAAAAAACTGGGTTCTCTTTTGCTAAATTTGTTTGTTAGTGAAGGTAAGTCAAGATCTGAACTGCCTCTTGCCAGTTCTAGCCGGGCAATGGCTTGCAAACGCCGCAGAGTGAGTCTGTTCAGGTTCTTAGAAATTGGCCCAGTAATTAATGATGACTTCTTTAGAGCGAAGGGTCGATAGCAATTTAATCTTGGGCAGCCAAAGGTCCGGGAAGGGCTTCACTCTGGAGGGAAGAAAGATGCCCGCAAGGTGACTGAGCAGCAAACTGCCCAGAACAAGACCGGCCCGGCTCTGCCTCAGCATCTCTGGCTCATTGACAGGGCCGCCGTTCATCTCCTTACACAATTTAGCTGATGGATGGATTATGCAAGGAGTGGAAAACAAAAAGGGTTGTCAAGTCAACCTGAGCAAGCTGCCGAACGATGAGGTCATGCAAGAGAGAAACAAAAGGAATAGTCATCCCATAGGTTAAACCAGGCATGGGCCAACATTGGCCTTCCAGGTGTTTTGGACTTCAACTCCCACAATTCCTAAGAGCCTCAAGCCCTTTTCTTTCCCCCCTCAGCCACTTAAGCAACCTGAGGCTCTTAGGAACTGTGGGAGTTGAAGTCCAAAACACCTAGAGGGTCCAAGTTTGCCCATGCCTATCTAGAGAAACCCAAAAATGCTGGGCATTTGGAGGTCTTCCAGTCCCAATTCCATGGTCCATGTGTTGTTGAGCACAAATTTGGGAGGCCCTGGCAAAGCAGAGACCGGCCGGACCCAAAAAGGAGGACCCTGGCAAGATAGCAAGCACCCAAAAGACTTTCCCCCTTATTTTTCCCAATAAAATCTCAACAAGTTGAAGAAAAGCAACCAAGATGTTTATTTCATTCCAGCTGGAACGGATGACGACCGCAATCATTTGCCTAGGAGCCGACATGACCCGTTGGGCAAAATAATGCAATATTTATAGGAAATATAGACCTGTCAAATTCAAATTTCTCGGGCCTGACCTCTGAACCAGCTCTGCGCTGATTGGCTGGAGACATCCGCTGGCTGGGATGTGCAGTCAGCTAGATTGCGCCCTGTCCAATCAGAGCGCTAGCCCCACTTCGGCTGCTCAGCCAATGAGGAGGCAGGAGGCATGCTGGGTGGGAAACAATGAATGGGAGAGGCAAAATGACAGGATTAGAATGACCATGTTTGCCCAATGACCCAACGATAGCTTAGGCTCTCAAGTCAGATCTGAGTTATTGTTTTAGCCTTTTGAATCATCATCTTTGTCTAGCCCTGGGAGGCTAGGTCCTTTGTTTTACTGTTCTGAGATATGGAGTTCATTGAGGGAATTGATGTTGGTTTTGGCCAGTCAAGATGTGACACAATGGTGAAGCTGTGGCGAAATCCCTGGTTCCTCGCAGATAGAGAATTGCTGGGTGTTGGGTGATCCAAAATGTCCATAGACCCTATCATTCCAGATGGCCTGGCTTTCAACCCTCCGAAGTCCAGTCTGATAAGTCATTTATCTATTGTCCATGCAAATGGGTTTTGGTTGAGTCCTTTGTTTGGGATTTACTGGCCCAGGAAATTGGGAAACTTCCAGGAGCCACGAGGTGCTGGTTTCATGAAAAGGTGGCTTTTCCTTCATTTTTAAAATATTGACATACATACATATAGGGAATTGGAAATGGGACAAGGGAACATACAACAAATTCATAAGGAGAGGGGAAATCATGCAGGGTTGGGGAGGTTCTACTTCAGCCCTTTCCAAAGTCCATTGAAGTTCATGAAAATTCTTAAAAGTTTGCAAAAATTGATAAAAGTTCTCAAAAATTTATAGAAGTTGGAGAAAGTTCATAAAAGTTCTTGGAAATTTCATGAAAGTCCATGAGAGCTCCCAAGAGTTCATGGGGAGCATATGGGAGGAGCACTGGAGGGTCGGAGTCCATTCACAAACGAAGAAAACTGTAGATCCAATCCATAAATTCCAAAACGGCCTGCCAGGGGTCCAGGGGTCCCAGGGGATGATCACAAGGGACTTTCCCGGGGTCATCAGGCTTCCGGATGTACATGATATGGAGGCATGGACATCACTGCAACGTGGAGCCATGGAAAGAAGATTTCTTTGCCCCCACATGAGGTTTTGCAACAAAAATGGTTTTCCCAGGGTGCAGGGATCCGTTCCACAAAAAGTAAGATAGCAGTTAGTCTTAAAATTAGTCTAGGAGAAAGATGACACCAGTTTGGAGATGATTTGTTGACCCACGGATACGGGGGCCCGATAGGTCTCCGTATCCGTGGTTCAAAGGAACACAGTTTTGGCTTCCCCGGGAGGCAATAAGAGCGTCCTGGGTGAGCTAGCAGTGATCTGCGGCTCGGAAAAGGGAAAGTTCATAATGGGAGTGGAGTTAGAGTCAGTAAAGGAGACAATTTATCATTCCAGAGAGAGAAAAAGTTGAAAGAAAGGATACTTTTTATTGGGGGATTGTTACAATGAAGCAGGGGGAATCCAGCAAGAAAAGGAAAGGTCTCTGTATTGAAGCTGCTGCTGGGGCCACAGTCCCTTTGTCATCTTGAAAGTCTATGCTCCCAGGAACTGTGGAACTCCCTGCTGTGCGGTCAGATCAGCTTGAAGACAGGGGCCTGTGAGCTCATTCTCACATGGCTCAATACTATGGGCATCCTGGGTACGATGTCTTGAAACTTCTCTGTCCAAAAGTGCTGGTGCTTCTCCAAAAGGCAACTCCCTGGAGCCATGGCAGTTCAAGTGGCATCAATCTGTCTTAACTCTTCAGTGTAGATGCACCTTTGTGGAATCTTATCTCACCACCTGATTCTTTTTTTTTTTTTTTTGCTCTTTGTTGATCGCTGGGCTGGTTTGGAAAGTTAACGTTGGCAAAAAAGGCAAGAGTGAGGCAGTGGAAGGAATTTGAGTTAATTGGGATGAGTTTGGAAACAATAAGAGTGGCAGGAATTTAAGATATTTTCACGACTGGGGTGTGAACAAACTATTTTTTGCAAAAAGCAAACAGGGGAAAGAATTTATAGCAGTGTGAGGCCCAGAAGCAAAAAGACCTTAGCTTTCTGATAAAGGAGCTCCCTTGGTTCTTCCATCATCAAAGCATGTCCAGCTTTCCCCCCAAAAAACACTATACAACAAATGCAAGGGCACACTAGGATTGTGCAATCTGAGTAAATCTTGACCCGTTTCGGTGTCCTTGCTTTCAGTGGGGGCCCTGATCCATTTTTTTGGAGCCTCCCAAAATTGGGAGGGCAGATATCTGTTTTTGCTCTGTGGTGCCGAAATATCCGTTTTCAATTGGCTCATTATGGGGAGGGGCTTCCCAGGCTCCCCTTCCCGTCATTTTAGGCATTTAAGCTGTTTCTACTCTAGAGGAGAGGCACTCAGCTGCAGGCAGGTGCGTGCTTTAAGGACGATTCTTACCTATTTCTACTCTAGAGGAGAGGCACTCAGCTGCAGGCAGGTATGTGCTTTAAGGACAATTCTTACTGTTTCTACTCTAGAGGAGAGGCACTCAGCTGCACGCAGGTGTGTGCTTTAAGGACGATTCTTACCTATTTCAACTCTAGAGGAGAGACACTCAGCTGCAGGCAGGTGTGTGCTTTAAGGAAGCTTCTTACCTGTTTCTACTCTAGAGGAGAGGCACTCAGCTAGAGGCAGGTGTGTGCTTTAAGGAAGCTTCTTACCTGTTTCTACTCTAGAGGAGAGGCACTCAGCTGCAGGCAGGAGCGTGCTTTAAGGAAGCTTCTTACCTGTTTCTACTCTAGAGGAGAGGCACTCAGCTGCAGGCAGGTGCGTGCTTTAAGGAAGTGTCTTACCTGTTTCTACTCTAGAGGAGAGGCACTCAGCTGCAGGCAGGTGCATGCTTTTGGGATGATTCTTACCTATTTCTACTCTAGAAGAGAGGCACTCAGCTGCAGGCAGGTGCATGCTTTAAGAAAGCTTCTTACCTGTTTCTACTCTAGAGGAGAGGCACTCATCTGCAGGCAGGTGCGTGCTTTAAGGATGATTCTTACCTATTTCTACTCTAGAGGAGAGGCACTCAGCTGCAGGCAGGTATGTGCTTTAAGGAAGCTTCTTACTGTTTCTACTCTATAGAGGAGAGGCACTCAGCTGCAGGCAGTTGCGCGCTTTAAGGAAGCTTCTTACCTATTTCTACTCTGGTGGAGAGGTGCTTGGCTGCAGGCAGGCACTTTCTCCCTTGGGCCTGCAGGCCGCACACACTCTTTCCAAGGCAAGGAGGCAAGTTCTGTTTCTTACTCTAGAGGAGAGGCGCTTGGATGCAGCAGGCACTTGCTTTCCTTCCTGGGCTTCACCAAACCAGCAGCCACACACTCTTTCCAAGGCATTTTAAAGAGGCTTCCCACTTCCAGGTAAGGAAAAGCAATAACCTCCTGGAAAAGGAGAGTAGTTCTCAGGGAATGAGGGTTTTCTTTTTGTTTGAAGGGGGGGTGTGTGTCGAAAAACAGAGGAAGAGCCGAGATCAGCTCCCGCTTGCTTTCGTGTTGAGCAGGTTTTCGTACCTGGAAGGCCCTTACCATTACGGGCTCCCGAAGTACTGAAGTTACCGAAAGAAATGGAGGAAACAGAAAAAGCTAATTCTGCACACAAGTCTAGGGCACCTCTCTTGCTTTTTCCATAAATGAAACTACATTATTTGTCCATTGGTGCAAGAGACCATTCACATACAATGCCTGGGTAATTCTTGCCCATTCTCCCTTTTTTTTTAGAAGCTTAAGTATGTTTTCAATCTATTCAGGCTTATGAGGATATGATGGGAGCTGCTGAACTGAAGGTGGGCTCCACTTCTAACTGGAAAAAAAACCCAACTTTGGAAGAGTTTGGGGAAAGCCGAATGAAAGAGTCCAGCTGGATTTTGTTTCTTTCCCCATTCAATTTGCTGCATGGGCTGCAAAAGCAGACTGGATGTTTGCTTCTGGTTCTCCTCGGATTCTCCTCCGCAGCAGAGTTTGGCACTATTTGCTCTTCCTTGCCTTTTGGCGATAGATTTCTTCTGTAAAAGGCCTGGGAAATACAAGGAAGGAAGGAAAGAATGAAGGAGGGAAATGGATGGGGAAAAATAGAAGGGAGGGAGGGCAAAATAAATGGGCGTAAGGAAGAAAAGTTGGGAAGGAGGGAAGAAAGAAAGAATAAAGGTGGAGGGACGGACCAAAGGAAGGTCAAAGGGAAGAGAGGGAGAGAGGGGGAAAAGAAGAGCAGAAGGAAAACAGATGAAGGGGGAAGAAAGGATAAAAGAAGGAAGAAAAGAAAGCAAGAAGCAAGGTGAAATGGATGTACAGAAAGATGAGAGGAAGAAAAAGCAGAAGGAGCAAGGTGAAATGGATAGATAAAAAGAGGGAGGGGGAAGCAAGGAAGAGCAAAAGGAAAGGAAAATGGATAGAAGGAGGGAAGAAAGGAGGAAAAAAGAGAGATGGACAAGAAGGGAAGAAAAATCAAGGTGAAGTGGATGGACAGAAAGAAGACATGAGGAAATAGGAAGGAAGGGCAAAAGGAAGAGAAAACAAATGGAGGGAGGAAAGGAAGAAGAAAAGGAAGAAAGAAACAAGGGAAAATAGATGTACAAAAAGAAGAGAGGAAGAAAAGATGGAAAGAGCAAGGTGAAATGGATGGACAGAAGGAGGAAGCAAGGGGTGGGTGGGAGGGAGGTAGAAAAATGGATAGAAGGGGAGAAAGGGGGAAGCAAAAGAGGACAAGAAGGTAGGAAGAATCAAGGTGAAATGGATGGAAAGAAAGAAGAAAGAGAAACAAATATGAAGGAAAGAAGGAAAAGGCCAAAGGAAGAAAAGACAGATGAAGGGAGGGAAGAAAGGAGGAAATTAGTAAGAAAAGGAAGAAATAAGCAAGGTGAAATGGAGGAAAGAAAGAGGAAGGAAGGAAGGAAGGAAGGAAGGAAGGAAGGAAGGAAGGAAGGAAGGAAGGAAGAAGGAAGGAAGGAGAGAAAGGAGAAGGGGAATGGAAAGAAAAGGGGGAAGGAAGAAGAAGGAAGAGAAGAAAGAAAGGAAGGAAGGATAGGAAATGGATAGGGGGAAGGAAGGAGGAAGCAAAAGAAATGAACAAGAAGAAAGGAAGAATCAATATGAAATGGATGGTTAGAAAGAAGGGACAGAAGAAGGAAGGAAGGTGGGCGGGAGGGAGGGAGGGAGGGAGAAACAAATGGAGAGAAAGATGACATTGAGAATCAAGGCGAAATGGTTGAAAGAAAGAGGAAGAAGGAAGGAAGGAAGGAAGGAAGGAAGGAAGGAAGGAAGGAAGGAAGAAGGGAAGGAAGGAAGAAGGGAAGGAAGGAAGGAAGGAAGAGAGAGGGAAAGAAGGAAGGGTAAAAGGATTGGGGAAATGGATGGATGGAAAGAAGGAAGGGAGGAAAAGAAGAAAGGGAAAGGAAAGGACAGAAAGAAGGAGAAATGAATGGACAGAAAGGAGAAAGAGAGAGGGGGAGTGATTCAACCTCAGTTACTAGAAAGGGGAACTTCGTTCTAAGCTGTGGTGGCATCCTGGCCCCATCTTTTTGACCCCTGGGTCTGGCCCCAACTAAAATGTGCCCCCTAGAAGACCCTCAAAACAGAAAGGAGAGGCCTGCGCTGACCCTTGTGGCAATACAGCCCTGAACCAGATGTAAGCGGATGGCAGAAGACGGAGGAGTGGGCGCAATCATTGTGACACAACATCTCCGTTCTGCAGCCTCCCAGCAGGATCTTTGCCCCATCTGTGGGTCTCATTCCATTTCCCACTTGTTAGATTGACAGGTCCTTTTTATATCGGCACATAATTAATGCCATAAAACCCGAACCGCCTCGGGGTCAGAGCAGAAGCAGTGGTGAAAAACTCCCCTTTTCCATTGAACGTCTTGCCGAAGGAACTATGTTGAGTTGCCAACCTGCCATTAACCCAGTTTGAACCCAGATGTGTGGGCACCAGAAAGAAAGAAACACGTACTTTGCAAAAGTAGAACATATTTCTTTCTTGGACTGCGGCGGCATTGGGCCTTAGGTGGGTCGCTTCTAAACATTCCCATTGGGATCATCTCTCTAGGTGCCTAAACACCGTAGAATGAATACAGTTTGGTGTCACGTTAACTACAATGGCTCAAGACTATGGATAATGGGAGCTGTAGTTTGCACTCTTTCAGAAAGAAGGCTAAAGACCATGCAAAGCTGCACCTCCCCAGGATTCCAGAGCCTTGAGCTATGGCAGTTCAAGTGGCAATCGATGCAATATTAGGACGAATTGCCACAGGCAAAACAGGACCGTGGAATTAATCTTTCTTTCCTCTAATTCTCTGACACTAAGGAATTATTTCTAATTGCTTCATTGCCCAAGCAACTCACCCTTCATAGAGCAAAGCAATGGCATAGCACAAGGCCACAAGCACCGTCAGGACCAGACCAACCGGACTTGCATGCCTAATTGGGAAAAAGACAAGAAAATTGAGGAAAGTAAAGACGTAAATATTTTCTTACTCCCATAATAATACATAACACAAGGCCTTTCCAAATGACATAGTTATAGTGCTATAATTTCATTTTAACTGCCATGACAATATCCCATTGAATGCTATGGCTTCTGGGGTGAAATTCTCACCAAATTACAAATCCCAGGATGCAGCCAAGGCTGTTGATGCAGAATCATTGTGCTATAACCACGCAGTGTTGAAGACGTCATAGCTATCAAATACATTTCAAAGGGTGAAAGACAATACTTTTGAAAACAAATATACCACTCTCTTGAAAGTCCTTTCATCAAAATCCTCCCATTCTAAAAGCTTGTTTCAACAACAACAACAACTACAACAACAACAACAAACCTTATAGTGTGGAAGAGGCTTTGTTTATTAAATAAATAATATACTTCCAAGGGTAAAAGGAGTATATTTAATCAAATACACCAGTCCCTTGAATTCTGTTGCCAAAATCCTCCAGTTCTGAAAGTCTGCTGGAATTATTATTATTATTATTATTATTATTATTATTATTATTATTATCAGAGGCTGGGTGTCTATCTGTCAAGAGGGCTTGGAGGTGTCTTCCTGCTATTTATTATTATTATTTGAAACACAACAAGATGAGTCCACTGCATACAAGATCACTCTGCTGCCTGTTGTATTGGTTCACACGTCGGACACTTCCTAACTGTCTAGGACTGTGTGATGTATTGGTGAATAATGCATACAGATCCCAGTAGGGTGGCCTTTTGCAGCTGGCAGCTGGTCATTTTGTCAGCACTGATTGTGTTTAAGTGCAGGCCAAGGTCTTTAGGCACTGCACCCAGTGTGCTGATCACCACTGGGACCACCTTGACTGGCTTGTGCCAGGGCCTTTGCAATTCGATCTTTAAATCTTCATATCGTGTCAGCTTTTCCAGCTGTTTCTCTTCAGTCCTGCTGTCGCCTGGGATTGCAACACTGACAATCCATACTTTGTTTTTCAATACGACCATAAGGTCAGGAGTATTGTCAGGAGTCTTGTGCTCCAAAACTCTGTCTCAATTCGGAAGTCCCAGAGTAGTTTGACGTGTTCATTTTCTGTAACCTTTTCAGGCTTGTGATCCCACTAGTACTTTGTTGCAGGCAGATGGTATTTGTGGCACAAGTTCAAATGAATCATCTGAGCAACAGTGTTATGCCTCTGCTTGTAGTCTGTTTGCGTGATCTTCTTGCAGCAGCTGAGGATGTGATCTATTGTTTCATCTGCTTCCCTGCAGAGTCTACACTTGGGATCTGTCATCAACTTTTCAATTCTTGCGTTGTTGTTGTTGTTGTTGTTGTTGTTGTTGTTGTTGTTGTTATTGAGTTGCCGTGTGTTTTCTGGGCTATACGACCATGTTCCAGAAGTATTCCAGCTCACCTGTATGGCAGCCATCCTCAGAGGCTGCGAGGTCTGTTAGAAACTAGGCAAGTGGGGTTTATATATCTGTGGAATAATGTCCTGGGTGGGAGAAATAACTCTTGTCTGTTTGAGGCAATGAATATTGCAATTGTCCACTTTGATTAGCCTTGAAGCTTCAAAGCCTGGCTACTGCCTACTATTTAATGCTAACCAAGCCGGCCATACTCATACCTGCCTCAAACTGATTACAATACTTTCTCCCACCCTGGACATCCCACCTCACTTGCCTAGTTTCCAACATTCAGGAGAGAATGTTTTTGGAACATGGCGATACAGCCTGGAAAACTCACAGCAACCCAGTGATTCCGGCCATGAAAGCCTTTGACAACACATTGTTGTTTTTGTTGTTGTTGTTGTTGTTGTTGTTGTTGTCAGCCTCCTAATATGGAAAGGGCCATAGTTATTGAATAAATGCATGTTTCCTATGAAAACAGCACACTCCAGTTCTAATAATGACAGTAGCAACACCAGGATCATAGAACAGGAAGGAAGAGAACATTCTTGCTTTTTGGGGGGACACAAGGGGCCACCACTGGGAAGACCCCATCTCATGTGTTCCCACAAGAGAAGAGACCCGATATCTTTGGGATATACAGTTTTCCAGTTGGTCAGTATCCGAGCTCTGTATGACGGTAACATCCATTAGCCTCTGGATCTAATTGGGTCATCTGCCTTTTCTCTTTCTTACTCATGGTGGGTTAAACAATGCGATTTCCCTTGCCGAAGAGGGAGATTAGGTAGGTGACTTAAGAGCTGAAAAGACGGTTATATAAGACCAGGATGACAGGGATGATGAAGCTGCAGAAATGTAGGCCAAGCTGAAAGACGGAAAGGGGATTCGTAGCGTCCCCAAGGCTGCCCTGGTTCTGTGAGTCCATCTCTATAGAGCAGGCATGGGAAAACTTCGGCCGTCCAGGTGTTTTGAACTTCAACTCCTACAATTCCTAACAGGGCAGAGAGTTCCCCTGCTGAACAGCTCTCACAGTTAGGAAGTTCTTCCTCATGTTCAGGTAGAATCCCCTTTCCTGTCATTTGAAGCCATTGTTCCATTGCGTACTAGGATGGAGCAGAAGACAAGCTTGCTCCATCCTCCCTATGACTTCCCCTCACATATTTATTCATGGCCCTCATCATGTCTCCTCTCAGCCTTCCCTTCTGCAGGCTAAACATGCCCAGCTCTTTAAGCCGTCCCTCATAGGGCTTGTTCTCCATACCCTTGATCATTTGAGTCACCCTCCTCTGGACACATTCCAGCTTGTCAACATCTCCCTTGAATTGCGATGCCCAGAATTGGACACAGTGCAATTCCAGGTAAAGTGGTCTGACCAAGGCAGAATAGAGGGGAAGCATGGCTTCCCTGGATCTACACACTAGACTCCTATTGATGCAGGCCAAAATCTCATGGAGCTACATTTGGGATGTGGAGAGGCAAAAGTACTCCTTGGCAGACTTATAACTCCCATGATTCCATAGCATCGAGCCATAATCCATTATGCAGGCCAAAATCCCATTGGCTTTTTTTAGCTGGCAATCCAAAAGGCAACTCTTGATTTTAGGGATAATAATAATAATAATAATAATAATAATAATTATTATTATTATTTATTTGCACCACCTGACATCTGCCAAGTAGCAGCCAATAGTGAAAAGACCAAGGCAGTGATTTCTCCAGCTCATCCCCTGTTTGGATATCAGCCAGCACGTCAACGACTTAAATCAAGAAATAGTTTTCTAAGATCTACAGAGACACTCGCTGAAACGCCTCAGCAAGCAGGAGTCCAAAGGTGGCAGGCTCAAACCCAGAACCTCAATCAATGGCTGATGCCAAATGAGAGACTCCCCCCTGGGCACACAGAAGACTGGGCGACTTGGAAGGCGCTGAACAGACTGCGCACTGGCACCACGAGATGCAGAGCCAACCTTCAGAAATGGGGCAACAAAGTGGAATCCATGACATGCGAGTGTGGAGAAGAGCAGCAAACCACTGACCACCTGCTGCAATGCAACCTGAGCCCTGCCACATGCACAATGGAGGACCTTCTTGCGGCAACACCAGAGGCACTCCAAGTGGCCAGATACTGGTCAAAGGACATTTAATCAGCTACCAAGCTTGCAAACTTTGTGTTTTGTTTGTTTGTTTGTTAAAAAATGCAATGCAACTGTCTGGTTGCTCCTGACACGATAAATCAATAAATAATACTTTATTTATACCCCGCCACCATCTCCCCAAGGGGACTCGGCGTGGCTTAGATGAGGCAAAGCCCAAGAGTACAGCAAAGCAAGTATACGACATAAAATGCAAACAGTAAAATATAATGAAAATAAAATAAAATACAATAACAGTATAAATGAACACACCAAACAATATAAAATCACAGTAATTGGGCAGGGCAAGTTGCAAGGATAAAAAGTTTAAAACACTGGGTAAGCAGGCCATGTAGTGTATCTAGACAGAGGATCAGAAGGATGAAAGTGAGGTTTAATTGCACTAAAGTGCTTCTGAGTACATTTTATGCAGGTTTGGTCAAGATCAGGAATTACTGTTCATTCATTGAAGGCACACTGCAATAGCCAAGTTTTCAAACTCTTCCTAAAGATTGCCAGGGTGGGGGCTTGCCTAATTTCTCTGGGGAGCTAGTTCCGGAGCCGAGGGGCCACCATGGAGAAGGCCCTCTCTCTCATCCCCACAAGTCGCACTTGTGATGGGGGTGGGAGCGAGAGAAGGGCCTCTCCGGAAGATCGAAGGAGTTGTGAAGGTTCATAGAATCATAGAATCCTAGAGTTGGAAAAGACCTCATGGGCCATCCAGTCCAACCCCCTGCCAAGAAGCAGGAATATTACATTTAAATCACCTCTTTCATAATAGGAGATGCAGTCATGAAGGCAGGCGGGTCCCAAACCGTTCAGGACTTCGTAGGTAAGAACCTGCACCTTGAATTGGTACCGGAAATTAACAGCAGCCAATTGAGCTCCTTAAACAAGGAGGTGGACCACTCCCTGTATTTCGCACCAGTTAGTAATCTGGCTGCCACTCATTGAACAAATTGAAGTTTCTGGGCCGTCTTCAAGAGCAGCCCCACGTAGAGTGCATTGCAATAATCCAATCTAGTGGTAACTAAGGCGCGGACCACCGTGGGCAAATCTGACTCCGGATGCCATTTATGTACACCGATTGCCTATGCAGTAGTGGCACTTGAAAAGCAATCTCTGTTTTTGCCATTTTAGATACGGCACACCTTGACTTGACATCGAACCTTGACATGACCAGTTTACACAACGTTTTAGGATGCCATTTGCCAGTTTACATAACATTTGACAACGACCTCGTAAAGTGTTATACAAACTGGCAAAATCAAGTTTTTGCTGTCAAGTCAAGAAAAGGGTGTGCCATATATACCTAATAGGGCTTAAATTCAAACCTTGATTTTTGCCCTAGGCAAACTTTGGCCCTCCAGGTGTTTTGGACTCCAACTCCCACAATTCCTGGCCTCAGGCCCTTTCCTTTTCCCCCTCAGCCG